GCTGCCACCAATTTCACACTTTCAGGCATGACTGGACACATTAAACACTAGTCCTGGTTTTGTCAGTGGCCACTGCTGCCTGAGACAGTAACTATGGGTTCTGTGCACAATAAATCCCTTATTCTGGTACTTTCTGTCTTTGCTAACAACGCGGGATTTGACTAGATGATTGTAGGGCTCCGAGCAGAAATATTGCTAGGACGGTACAGACGGAGTAAATCAAGGAAGCTACCTAATAAATACACAAACAAATTGCCCTGTAGAGCGAGAGTCGCGCGCATGCCTATTTCCTAAAGATGGGTACGCTAAATCAATACTCAGAACTGCAGTTATCAAACGAACCGTTATCAGTGGCGATTTTTTTTCACATCTACTTAAGTTTTTGTGTTTATACTTACTTCAGTGTTGACAGATACACCTCTCCGACAGGGAATAACATGTTCACATGACCGATTTTGGAAGTTTACTAACTTATCGGCATAGGTGGGATCGATAAAAGTCAATCGGCTTTGTTAAGCATATCCTAAAGCAACGAGCCCGTGGTGCCATGGTAGAGTATTAAAGTCGACGAGCAAAAGTCTCAGGATCGAAGCTCTGGGGTTCCAACCCTTGAGATTGAGCATGACTGGCCTACGACGGCTAACAAGCCAGAAAGGGCCATTTCGGTCCCCTTTGCTTTGTCTAATCAATTTCATATCCTAAAAAGCGTAAATGACGCGGTTACTTCACTGGCCTTAGTGGATGATGTACTTAGTGCCCAAAATGTGAATAGAACTTAATTATAAACAGCAGCTATTGTTTGGTACAGAATGTTTTATAAGACCAATGCTAAAATATATTATGATTGGTTTGATGTCCATGCACACGAAGAACCAGAACGATAAGAAATTCTGGGAAATGTAGTCGTGGCTATGCATTAAAAGGTTTGAATCTGCTAGAGCTCGCGGTCTCTCAATGATGTTCAACAAAGTAAAAAGCAAACTGGGGCTATGAGACCATAGGCAAAGTCGTCTAACTTTAAAGGGGCAAATCCTAGTCTCTACTTTCTGATTGATCAAGGAAGATCGACACTTGATTACATGCGGTTGTAAAGGGTATGATGGTTTCAGTCTAAGGACATTGTTTTATAAGTTAAACTTCACGGTCGATCGAGGAAGCTACTCGTTAACTTTGCCAACCTCGACGCTCTAGATGGCTATTTTTCGTACACTTCGTTGACCTAAAGGATAATTCTTTCGCAGTAAAACCCAGATTAGCATCAACCGAAGAAGTTACCTTTTTCATGAGTAAGCTCATATATGGATACCATTTTGTGGACATATATTTAACTGTATTTCACCAGCGTTAATGAAGAACTGTCACCCCAGGCGAATGTATATGTGAATTCGGTGTAGGTGAGGTTGAAGTAAAAGGATATGTTGTAACTATGCCAGTCTTAGTTGTCATTTTTGACTGTCTTAACTACGACACGCATGCATACGCTGCAGTATACTGCACCACATGCATGTGTGTGTGCATCTGTGTACCGCGCTGCGCAGCTCATAGATACATTTTGTAAAAATATATCGTAAAGAATAGAAGAACATAAATTATTTAAGGATGAATAAAACATCTGAGTGTTTATTTGACGAAAGGGTGGTGTCTTAGCTAGAATAATAACGACAAAATTCGAAGTAAAATGGGAAGCACCAAAACTCACAACAGGCAGTGTTTTGAATTGTTGCCGGAATTTCAGGCGATTCAAATTCTAACAGAACGCTGGCTATATGGAATTTATAATTGCATAATATATTTTTATTTCCATCAAACGTTCTACACGGATGTGAATTCTGCGTAAGCCATATCATGTTTCAGTAGCAATACTAACCAGTCAATGTATGTATTAGAGGGAAGAACAACCGTCGCCGAAACAGCTGAGGGGTTTCAAAGAATCACATGATAACCAAAGTAAACTGGATGGAACAGGGATGCTAAGAAACGGGTGACAGATAGCAATTTTAATGCAATTTATGCTGCAAACATAAAATCAGCACAAACATATTGGATATCGACTAGCCTATTCAATTTATGTGGTGCTGTTCCTGCGCTCTAAACTTCCGCGTCTGCATTCATATCAAACGATCCTGCATTTGATAGTAGAACTGAGGCGCCTATTAAATATTTGGGTTCATAGCGAATTCTCACAAGGCCGTCTTTTGGTAAATAAGTTGCTCTTATAGTATTCTTGGTCTACAAAGTTTGTTGCTTAAAATCAATTTCGAATTTTAAGTCCTTCGAGCTTACGTGTATTTAGCCTCGGCTTCAGTGTAGAAGACACGGTCCTTAGTAATTACTCAGGAGTAGACTGTATACTTTCCAAGTTTTGGGGATAGCAGCTTGGACTTGGCTTGAAGAATTCCAATAATAATAATAAGTTGTATCTTTCAAGCCCAATGGGCCTCATCAATAAACCAAAAATTCGATAACACGAAGTTCTAGA